ATTTTTCTATTCTTTATAATTAAATAATTGAAAAGAATCTTTAATAATAATACTTAAAAAAACGTTTAATACCAGCAACAGTGTCATCTGTAACAGTTTCATCGATCAACGATATTGCCCAGAGTAATCGAAGAAAACGAATCGATAGTAGCTACCATCGACAATGGCGGATCGAGAGGTGAGCGATAGGGGCGTCCCCTAAGAGTAATAAAATGTAAGAATATTGTGTCAGATTCTGAAAATTTGTTAAGTATACAATTAATGTAAATTTAGTTATTTAGTTTATAGTATCAGATAGAGATATTAACATATAAATTACAAACAGATCTTAAACCTTGCAAAAGAAGATTCAAAAATATACTCGTGTACTTTTAAGCAATCCCTTCCCCCAGAAAAGTTTTTAGATCCGCCACTGACGATCGATTAATATCGAAAAGAAGCAAACCGAGCGAAATTTCGTTTTCGGTAAGCGTCCCAGAGGCGGCGAACGAAAATCGAACGGAAGGTCGTAAATACGATTGTGCGATCGTCGATTGTATGTAGCCCCGTCGAAAGCGCGAAGGAGTGGAGAGGATGATTCGAGCGAATCCGTGTGGCGTCGGGACTTTTCGTGTCGGTCCCGCGTGAATGTCGAACGAGATGTCGTTTCTCGCGGATCGTTCAACGAGGAGGTCGTGACCGGTCTTTCAATTTCACTCGTGTGTTATTTAACGTGTCATTGTGTGTGTATGTCATCACGACGCGCGATGACCCGAGCTAGTTCCCGGCAGTGACGGTGGTACAGAAGTAGCGGTGCGTCTCGTTTTCACGGTACGTTTGTTCATTATTAAACTTTGATCTTTGATTCAGCCTGCTTGGTTCGCAGCCGCAAGTATCATGCATTATACAAACGCCACGAACGAATAGAAAATAAGGCATTAACGATGAGCTACGGTTTTCATTGCTGGCGTCAGCCGGCTTATAGGTTAGACCTTCCTTCTTTTATTTATTATTGTTGGCCGTTTGTGTCTCGTTGTTTTTCTTCGTCCTAGCGTACGATCATGGCACACAAGTGATTCAAACGTTGACAGGATTCTCTGTCTCTATATTTCTGTAGAATAATTAGATTGCGAATTTTTATGTAATTTCATATATTTATAAAGAGAACTAAAGAAGCTCAAGGCATGGCAATTTGTTCGTCCACTGAAAATTATGACGCGTACTCAGATTTGAATACTTTATGTATATTATATGCATTCTGCGAATTTCTTCACTTAAAATTTATCATAAATGCATAAAAATCCGCAATCTAACGCAATTTGCGTGTAAAATCTTATTCTCAGTTATCGCTCAACAATTACTTAACCTTCTTTTTTGTTTGAAGAGAGTACATAATTGTTTATGATTGGGCAAATTCGAGATGATTAGAATTTGCTAGTTTTTGGCTCGGATTGAAGATAATCGATTCGTGCAGTCGATATAGGTTAGTTAAACTTTGCTTTCACCGCGGAGAAAGATCATTATTTCACACGTGGTTTCGGACATGGTATTACTATCACTTTTCTCATCACAAAGAAATTGTTTGAATCTCTACATATATGTTCATATGATGTCGATCCTTAGGAAGAGCAAGATACGATATCATAGTTTAACTACCTATTTTACACCCTGTTTATATAACAGATTATTATAAAATGATATAAAATGGAAACTTTTCTTCGTAATCAATAATTATAAGTCTTATAGTCGTAATTATAAATACCATTATTTCCAACAAAAATGTTTTTCTGGCTTAGATCGTATAGTCGATAAAAGTATAGGATTCCTCACTTTATAGTCGTGACTGTAAATTATTTTATATAAAAAATTAAATTTTTTGGCTCGGTTGACATAGACTTCGTGACTATACCAGTCTTTCTCCTATTTTCAACTTTGTCAACTTAAAACTCCTTTCGGTTAAAAATACGAATTTCGATAATGCCTATAGTCAGTGACTACACACTGTTTTCCTGATTTTTAGTTACCAGCATCCTCGTAAGTAATATCAACTCAAGTTCGTATGTTTTTTCTCGCCAATGTGTGTAATCAACGACTATATGTTACTTTCTCGATATTTATAGTCACTTCTTCAGTAATACTAGTACTAATTCTTGCACGTTTTCCCAATCTTGTGCTTTCTCAAATGAGAGATATAAGGAATCCAATTTTTTCGTCAACATTTGAATCACATTCGAATGAACGTAAGTACTCGTATCATCGAGAACGAAAGAAAAGCTCTTGAACGAAATACAAAAACATATCTCGGTTTCGTGGTTGAAGAACAATTAACACCCGTATGTACGTTTGTAAACTCGTTCAACGACGACAATCAACAATTCGGTAGAAATGCAACGTCCGTTCCTCTATAAAATCTTCGATCACAGGTTTTCGTTTATCGCGACGGTTCTTCCACATTTTTTTTATAATTTTCCTATTTTTTTTTTTTTTTTTTTGGTTTCTTTTTCCTCCGAAGAGCGCTCTATGTTCAGTGTTAGGCATCATATGATTCTACCTAACAATCGCTTGATATTATGAAACTGTTCCAAAAGTAATCAAATTGCATGTGTAGTTCTTTTTAGAAATAACATTTTCAAGAGTTTGTGGAAAAGATTTTTTTTTTTTTAATACAGAGATGGAATACAATCTTACAGGACTTATTTCTTTAAAATAATTGGAAACATATTTCTCGAAGATATTTCTGTTTATAAATTTGAATTACAGATCAACGATCTTTTCTGAAAGTATAGTTACCGAAATTTCCGAGAAAAAGAATTTCCAAAAATACGGAAACAGATTACGTAGTTTATCAGACAAGGATTGATCTCTTTAAATGGTTAAAAAATTACCTTGAAAATATTTTTCTGCAAAAATTCGAATTGGGAACCAAATTAATTGTATTAGAAATAAAATGCAATGTTCTTAGAAATTTGTTTGAACTGGTTAAAAAGTTCGAGATATTCTTTCAAAAACAAATCTAAATTACGAATGAAGCAACGTCGTTACTTTTGAAACAGACCACGTATAAAATTGCACATAAAATGGAAGTCGAATGGTTGAACATTTCGAATTCAATTTCATAAACAATCGTTAATAATTGTACCTTTGAATTAGAATTGGCTTGTAAAATTACGCGTCTTAATCATCTACGATGTTAAATCTTACAGATCGTCTACTTGGCTTTCTACGTGTAATTAATTCAGATACTTTCGGATTATAAGAGCAATTGAAAGAACACGTTTGTTCTGTTTAATATGCTCTCAGGCAGTGCAACTAAAGTGTGCTAGGTATTAATCATTTACATAGGCACCGTGTTACTGGGGCACTCTTCTTTGTGTGTATTATTTAAATGGACGATATTCGTTTGACCTAATATACTTCTAATTCGAAAGGGAAGCTTTTCCATCGATATAGCTGTGAATACTATGATTTTGTTTATAACGATCAGATTTGTTGAAAACTTTGCATATAAGTCGTGTCCCTGTGTAAGGCTCTCTTCATTTTTTATACTTATGATTAGTTGATTATCTTGATCTTTGTTTCTGCGAGCAATTTTTTAATTGATAGATCAATACTTCTAGGGTAATTTTTCGATCTGCGTATGTGAAACATTCCTTCCCATTACTTATACAATTAATCGCCTTACAGAAGAATAGTAAGATAGTCGAAGTCTTGCTACTTTTATCAACAGATTTATAAATCAATGTTTGCTCGATAGTTTCATGATCTATATAAAAAATCCGATTATTATATCGGAAGCTTAGAAGCTGTTCAGAGGCCTTTTGAACAATAATGTGGAATTTTCAAATTCATCAACGACTATGTTCGACTGGAATGATATATCTGCGCTTTTCTCCATTCCAAACTAGGCCAAATTTCATGCGTTAAGAGCACACGGCTAAACTCTGAAACCTGAAATTCGATATACCCATTACGATATACCAATAATCCTGGTACCCGTTTCTTTGGAAGTTCGTAGCCTAATTGAAAACAAACATTTAAATATAGTATATTCTATAGAATATACAGGGTGGTTGGTAACTGGTGGTACAAGCGGAAAGGGGGTGATCCTACGCGAAAAAAGAAGTCGAAAATATAGAATAAAATTTTTTTTTTTAATTTTTCCATCGAGACAACGATCTACAGTGAGATCCATTATAATGTGACGCGATAAAGTGCACGCGTACCGAGCGAAAATTCAAAGTCGATTTTCTCGAAAACAAAGCCTCGAACGAAAAATGTTTATTCTATATTTTCGACTTCTTTTTTCGCGTAGAATCACCCCCTTTCCGCTTGTGCCAACAGTTACCCCTGTATATTAGAATTCTATCAAATTAGAGACTCGGACGAAAGGTTCTTCAAGTTACAAAATTTCCAACTCGAAAATATCATACGAGAGATAGAATGAAACATTAATATAAAAGAACCTTTTAAACAAAAGTAAGAATCCATAAATTACTTTCTATATTCATCTGATCATTTCTAGAGAATGTCTCTCGAACAATCCCCTTCCGATTTCGTTCCTCCCCCAATACACAATATACGTTATAGTAACATGAAAAATTCTACAAACATTCGCCACGATTCGAACCTAAAACCCTTAACAATCAGCTAAACGGAACGTGCGGTATAATCTCGCATTAGGTTGATAAATACGTAGATTAATACTCCGCGAGATTCCATCAGCAACCGCCAATTCCAATTAAACTCGAAAGAACGTCGAAGAGCCCCATCGACTTCCACGATATTTCTTTAACCCAACACTGAACGACTCTTCGCCGTTAACTCTTAATAAAACATCTAAACTTGGCCTAAGTGCTCTAACAATGGCGGCGATCACGCGGGACGAGAAGCATTTCCGGAATGCATTGCTCGCGAATGTTTTCACTAAGAACGACTCCCAGCCGCATTGGAGATAACCTGTCTACCTAAAAGGCGCCGCTCATTAAGCTATAAAACTTGTAACGAAGCCGTGACTTCGTCCTCGATACTCGAGCAAGCTCGTTCCCAAACTCTTCGTCTCTTTGCCTCTCTTTCTCTTTTGCTTTTCCTACCTCTTCACCAAACTGTCTGCCTTCCTTCGATCGTTCCTGCCTAAATATCGCTCGCGAACTTCACTCGAATGACCTTATTATCTCGACGATGCTGACGTACGTGCCGATCACGAGGCCCAAGAGACCGAATACGATCAGAAATATGTTTTTGATGAACATGATCATGCAAGGCCCGAAGTCTCGGTTCGGCCAGAGCACGCAGATCTCGATGATCGCTGGGAACGCGATGCCAAGGGCGGACAGACAGAGAGCACCGAACAGGGAGATGAAGAGGGCCAATCTGGGAACTGTGATGGCCAAAGTGACTGCAAAAAGAATATTTTTGATTGTTAATTTTCGCGATGATCGGATAACACACGCTCGCAAATTGATAAATGTCAGCACACCTTTCGTATAAAATATCGATGGCTTACTACGCGATCGTCGTATGTCCACTTTTAGCGTTTCAGCGAGGAAAATATTATAGTTGAAGAGTACGTTGCAATTAAATAATTTGCATCGTATTATCTTTATCAAATTATAAAATTCAGTACGAATTGTACATTGATTTCTGGGAGTATAAGATAAAGGTGAATTATGATTCTTGAAACGATACAATGTATAAAAACGTACTGCAAAATTGTACAACAAACTGTAAACCTCGCTCCTGTGTCGCCAATACGACAAGTGGCTTATGCGACGTTCAATAATTGAAACGAAACGAAGACAAAAAGGAACGGAAATATTATTTTCGACAAATTTGTGAAGTAGATATAAATCTGATTTTTATACGGCACAAAGAAACAGTCGAGAATTATTTGTTGCGTATAAAAGTTCTTTAATCCATCGGTATACGTATTTAGGGTTCTACGGATTTCAATCGTGTTTTCATTAATGTTACTAATAAAAATTAATCTCGATATTAACCCCTTAACCTACAACTAGTACGATAATCGGGCCAAACGTAACCATTACGGGCGTAGCCCGTAGTACGAGGATCAGGCCAAATATAATATTTTATATAATATACAGGGTGGTTGGTAACTGGTGGTACAAGCGAAAAGGGGGTGATTCGACGCGAAAAAAGAAGTCGAAAATATAGAATAAAATTTTTTTTTTAATTTTTCCATCGAAACAACGATCTACAGTGAGTCCGTTATAACGAGACGCGATAAACTGCACGCGTACCGAGCTAAAATTCAAAGTCGATTTTCTCGAAAACAAAGCCTCGAACGAAAAACTTTTGTTGTATATTTTCGACTTCTTTTTTCGCGTAGAATCACCCACTTTCCGCTTGTACCACCAGTTACCAACCACCCTGTATAATAGCTTGTTTACGTTTTCGACCCAAAATTCTCGAATATAAATCGTAGCTTAAGAGGTTAAAATCTCGCCTGTTTTCTTACATTTTATATACGGAATAATTTTCCTTTTATAATTCTTCGAGCTTTGATCGTGTTTTTGTTAGTATTACTAATACTATACTATACTAATTAATAGAAGTAACAGCGATAAAAATACGATTAAAACTCGAACCGCGGAATTCCCTTGGTAAACTTACACGTGGCTAAAGTGATAACAGTCCGACAGACGTACTCCCAGAAGATTTTCCTCTTCTGTATCTTTTGATCGAGATAAGTGTTCCAGATAATATCAACTGGAACGTATCCTTGAAGGGCGTGCGTGATAAAAATGGCGATGGCGAACATTATTTTGATACTTTGCGCCATTCTGTAAGAATGAAAATTAAATATCATGGTAACTTTAAAAAAGTAGTAGTATCACGAAAGGTAACGTAAAACAAAATTCACTTACACTTCATTCGCCGGTAGATTAAAAGTAACGCTACCACTGGCGCTAGATCCGTATTTTATATAACCGAAAAACCCTATAAGAATATACAGGGCTACGATCACCGTCATTCCTATGTTCAAAACGCCAAAATACCCTCCGAAATATTGTGGAGTCTTCATATTGTTCTCCAGTGCGATTATCTGCAATGGAAAAGTATCTCTTACATGGTTGTTTTCTTTTAAGAAAAATTCTAACTCTGAAAATACTCTATTCATGGTGTCACAGTAATTTGAACAATACACATTCAGTTTATTTTGTTCTTATTACGATATTCAACAGTTAAACAGGGATCCTTTGGAATTATCATTCTTTTTTAAAACGATTTTTTATTAGCACGTGCTTTTTTTACATCTAAATTATTCAAATAGTACTTAGTCGTACATTATTTGTTGAAAAATATCTCTAAACAATTCCTAGTCGACGTTAGATCATAAACGAATTCACGGTATTCATACTCCATGACTTATTTGTATGGAAATCTCGATTAAATTAAATTAATGTTTTAATTAAATGAAAAGATCTGCATTTCGATCGTAACTTTCATAAGCGAGTTTTCATAATCTTGGTAACTGAATTTTCATAATCCTCGCAGTCTGCATTTTCGTGATCAAAAACGATCTGAATGTGTCGAATAGAATCTGAGAGTCACTGTGATCCTCGCTAGAGGCTGAGAACATCTGAGAAATAACAGCAGGGATTGCATTGACGCACTGATGATCTGATCACGACAATCTCAAAGTTGTTCCATAAGTGGCCAGTTATTTGTTTATTAACGATACAGCGGCGCCGTTGATCTATTCTAAGCGCTGGCTACTCGTTTCTACCCAACAGTCACAGGGAATGATCGACGAGGCCAAATGATAGATCGATCGAGGGTACGTATGGTAAAATTGAAAAAGCCACGCGTCGAGCGATATATTGTTCTAAATTGCGTGTCTTCGTCGTAGTAGAAAATATTCTATTCACGTTTCTTTCGATCACGTGTACGTGTTTCTATGAATGATTATTTAATGCGTAAGATTTTTAAAACGATCTTTCTGTTCTACGATTTGAGAAATTGAAAATCGAAAGAAGAGATTTCGAGGAAAATAGCTTCACTTAATCGTGGAATTTTTTAATGTCGATTTAGGGAAAGCTTTGTAAATTGTTTATAGGGGTGGTTTTAATAGTTGAATTATTCGATAAATTATAGCATGATTTACGATAACAAGGAGACTATAAAATTAAATTTAAAACAAAAATTCTATACAATTTTCTAGATTACTATTCGATTTCGAGCTAAATTCTTTACGATATCGGTTAAAAAGAATTAGTCAACGTCCACTCTGTAACTTTCGAGAGAAAATAAATTGAAAAAAAGGAAGCTAACGAAAAAGCAAAATAAAAATCGATCGTACTGAAGAAAAATTCAATTTTACGTGTAGAAACGATCAAAACTTGGAACATCCGACAGACAATAAAAAAGGAAGACTTAAAAATGAATTTAAACTAAATGCTTTACGTAAAAACAACGAAACGATTAAACATCGACCGACATAGAAGAAGAGGAAGAAGACAGAGGGAAGGGAGAAACGAAACGCGAATTAAACTTACCACACCGACAGCTTCCAGAGCGAATAACGTGGTGCCGAAGTAAAGTGAGAAATTTTTCGGTGTACCGAACATTTCTCTTTCGCTGATCGACGGTAGATCGTCAAACATGTACACTAGGATCATCGCCAGTCCAACGAACGTGATTGCGTTCGCCAAGGTGGAGAACGGTGCCAGTAATTTGAGGTTCCTAACGTAATTGATCAAAATCAGCGGTAGCAATAAAATCAGCATATGGATTTTAACATCCAAAGGTTCCCAGTACTGGTCTGCCACCTACATTTATCAACAGAAGAACGAAAGACAAGGATATCAATGAATTTCGAACGGTTATGCCAATCAAAGAATTATCTTTTTCCATTTTTCCTTTCTTTTTCTTATTAATTAACTCTTTCATTTACACCACGATAAATTACATTTACGTGAATATATTATTCGATTATTTAATTATAGAGATTAATTTTTAACTTTTTTTTTTTGTTTGTTTTATTATACGCTGGTTCGTTGTTTGGTTGGTCGGTTGGTATTTTTCCTTGTTTCTGCGATTTTTATTCTTCTTCTTTTCGTTATCTAGCTTCTTATTTTCTAAGAGGAAGGATTTATAAATTGCTACTCCGCCATCGTTTTGGCGAGCAGAGTTGTTCTATGGCACCAGCTATTTACCTGCTTGATATTCGACGCTACAAATACGATATAAACGCAGCATATTCCCAATTGATACACAATCATGAACCCGTCTACGAGTCCTCTGCAAATATAATAGCAACTTTCATGTTATAGTTGAAAAAAGATTGTCGTGCCGCTTGATGAGATGATTTTGTGCGTGCTTCGTGTGCTTATGAGTGAAGGAAGAATTCTTTCTTTTTCCTTGATTGCAGATTAATAATGACGACTGTACATTGTTGATGCGATGTATTAATATCACAGATATCCCGCGTATAACACGGTAATAAGATATCGAAAAAATGCCGTGTTTTGCGAAAAGTGTCAAAGTTATCAATAATTGACTTAACTTATTACATTCTAGTACTATTTATCTTTATGAGAAAAGCTTCCCTATAGCGAAAAAAGTTTCTTGTGCAGGAGTTTAATACTCGAAGAACTAAAAATGGATTAAAAATTTCAATGTTCAGAAATTCCGTACAATAATCTGAGACAATACACCATGATTGCTCGACTAAGAAACATCCGACAAAATTTTCATTACGTTCCCTTTTCTACAATTTCGCCGATTCTTAAACCGTGTTACAGCGAGTTCGTGTTGTAAGAATACCGTGTTTTATGCGGGGGATATCTGTATATGATATCAGTATATTATAATAATATTAGTACGAATTCACTGAAATTATAGTGTGTATTATAGAGATGTCGATCATTATATGAAAAATGGAACGAATTAATTTTGCATGCGAGCGAGAAAGGAATTTTAAATTCCTGAAGCATGGAATTACGCTATTCGAAATCTTTTGTAAAACAATCTCCTTTCTTGTTTGTACACATAATACATTAAGAAAAATAAAGAATATATACAAAAAGTTGACGTTACGATACACATCTTCTAGCGTTATTAATAACCGGACCACGAATTTTTAGTTTTCGTACTTTTCATATTACATAGGTTTCGCGTATTTTACATAAACCACGTTAATAAACATGTTACATATTTATTTCTAATTTCATGATTCCTGATACTTTCGTATAATAATCATCGTACAATCAGTTTATCAGTTCGTACGAAGTACAAGCGGGACAATTTGAATTTTTTTAATACCTTTAAGGGACGTACACAACAGTGGTCAATCGCGTAAAAGTGGATTTCGTACCGATTTATGTCACGCGATCAACAAATAGGAGAAAAATTTCGTCGTATTCGATGAAGAAATGTTAGTTATCACTCGACATTGAAAATTTCAAGACTTTTGCAGGCACATCTATAGAATTTTGTTTAATTTAAAGAAATTGAAATATGTACACTTCAGTTAGGTTTCATGACGCCGAACGATCTCCTTCGATGTGTAAATTAATGCTTCCACGTGAGCGAGATCGTTTTGCGATTTAAACAACCTTGGAAAACCTGTTGTTACTTATCGTAATGCAAATTCTCATAATTAGATTGCGGATTTTTATTTTTAATTTCATTAACACAACTGCAGAGGCGGAACCTACGCGAACATTCATCTCACCCGTTAGACGTCGTAACAACTGCTTCACTTTGAACGAGTTTCTTATATCTTCGCATGTTACGTGCACTTTGTGCGTTCTTGCAGTTTTTTGAACCTTCTCCAAATGTATCAAAATCCGCAGTATAACGATAACTATAAGATTGGCAGCTAAATGATTGCGGATTTTGTCATTACCATGTAATGTCTTTGTTCTTTATATATACAGGGTGGTTGGTAACTGGTGGTACGAGCGAAAAGGGGCTGATTCTAGGCGAAAAAAGAAGTCGAAAATATAGAATAAACATTTTTCGTTCGAGGCTTTGTTCTCGAGAAAATCGACTTTGAATTTTCGCTCGGTACGCGTGCACTTTATCGCGTCTCGTTATAACGGACTCACTGTAGATCGTTGTTTCGATGGAAAAATTAAAAACAAAATTTTTATTCTATATTTTCGACTTCTCTTTTCGCGTAGAATCACCCCCTTTCCGCTTGTACCACCAATTACCAACCACCCTGTATATATATGTATTGTAGAATGAAACAATGTTCGTTATTTACTTCGAGAAATCTTTTAAATTGATTTTTGTTAAATTTAAATTTTACCTGTTCGGTCGTTAGACACACAAACAAAAGTACAGTTTACAGAGTTGTCTTTTCCAAAATACGCCAATACTGCAATAAATTCCTTTGATTTATAATTATTATTCAATCGTTCGAGGTTGCCTGAAACTGCACGGAATACGCAGCAAGTAGAATCGATCGGCTATGATCAGACAAAGACTACGCCTCGGACTACGATCGGACTATCAAATTCTCTTTCCTATTTCGAAACACAATTTTGTTGAGTCGGCCAAAAAGATTCTTCACAATTTCCGAAGAATTATACCGGGTAACTACCCTTAGAAAATTCTTGAAACAATTAAACCGTTTTGTTATCCTAAATCCAATTAACAAATGCAAATATCAAAACATGAAACCAATGACATTTTCTAATTGAAATGTTAATCCGTAGCAATCGATGGATCGTAAATGAGAATCCGCACCTCGTATTAATTTCATTCAGCAACCTAAGCAAATATCAATTATCATCTCTACGGAACCGGCTAAAAATTTGTCGCATCGAATGGAAACTTATTTCTTAACGCTATAAAGACCGGAACAAAGTAATCGGTTTTTACTCTTTCGTAAAAGTTTCCAACATTCTCGATGCACTTTTAGAAACACACAAATAATATTTCCTATATTAAAAACTGTTCTTCTCATTTATATATTTATTCCCATATACGTGTACATTTACCCTTCACTGTATATTTTTCATTTCGGTTTCTTTGGTATAAGTCAATTGGCATCTTCAATGTTGACAAATTAAACTTTCAAAGGTTAGAAGTTGCATGATGAAGAAGATTCGTAAATGATAACTATGCGTTATGTATATGGGTGAATGAGTATATGTATGAGTGTCTGCACACGTGAGTGAAACTAACGTGGGTACTTACGGCGCGTAGGGTGCGAACCATCGGACACACCAAGGCCCTTGGTCTAGAGCGTGCTTCATACTCAGTGGATAACTCAATATAGGAACTCTTAACCGTTTACACAGTCTGTACTGAGCTTTCACTAGTACGTGCAAACAATAAGTGCACAACACCCCTATGATCACTGTGGATATAACACCAGTCACGAGGCCGCTGTTGCAGAACGCGTTTGGCATCGCGAGTATTCCGGTGCCCAGGCTTCCTTTTAATAAATGTATCAAAGTCTCCGCGTTTCTAAAAATTAAAAAACATCCAAAGGATGCGATATTACCAATTTTGTATCTGGTCTTCTTTTTTTTTTTTTTTTTTTTTTTTTTTTTTTAGAACAAAATCTGTCAAACCAATTCTAACCGAACCAATACATCACCAAACATGAATTGTGAATTATTCGAATTTAAGTTGTCACTTGCTTAAAGTCTGTGTTGAAATAAATTTAAGATCGAAAGGGTGTATCTTTTGTTTTGAAGAAAGGCAGGTTGTTGCAAGTTAATTTTGGAGAAACTAAGTGGTAAATGTAAGCAATTGGAAACTTGAAATGCTGTGCATGTAATTTCTTAGCATGGTTATTAACTTGAAAAAGGTGAAATTCATTGGAATTTTCACGTAGCAGTGTGCTTGACGATGTTGAATCAGGTTTGAATGCGTTTGATGTAAGAAGGTCGCAGATTGTGAGAGCATATTATGAATATTTAAAGATACTAAATTATGACTAAATGACTGATACGTATACGAAATATAAGGTAGCCTATTTTGTTCCGAAATGTTTGGAATAAAAAGCTGTATCTTCCTCGAAATTCCTGTACAAGGTAGACATTTGATAAAACTATTGGCAAATATTTGAAATACTCACGATGTCGGATTTGGCCTATTTCGATGTTTGTGAGGGTCGTAATCTTCTGGGCTTGTGGTCGGCGATATTGGAACTTCCGATGCATTTATACCACTTCCGGCGATTTCATTATTAACTCTGCAACCGTATCAATTCGCAAATGCAATCCACGTCCCCGTACTTTTATTTATCGAATTTTCAAACGTTACATGTCGCGAATTCTAAATACTATTTTCATAGCGCACAATTAAATTAAAAGCAATAGAGAAGAGATACCGAATAACGTGAAAATATCATGCACTTTTGCAATACATTTTATTGTCAATTTGAATAAATTCTTCTGGGTTTTTGGTACAGAAACTTTGAAATAGAATCAGACGTACTTGTACGGACTCTCGGAACCGATCAGCTGCATGTTTATCGTCTCCTCCTTGGCGTTCTCCATTTTTTCTTTGTCGATTAGTCTCTCGTGCCGCTTCTAAATTTTTCACAGAAAAATCACGGAAAATTTTATTAAATCAAATGTATATAGAAATCGATGAAAAGAAACGATAGTTATCAGAATTAAAAGTTACTATCTGTAAAGGTCAGCTGGTTATGTCTGGACACATTGACTTGAGAAGTTTCTCTATTTTTCTTTTAGAAATTTTTTATGTATATATTATACAAAACACTTTCAAGTATATGTATATGTATAATGAAATTTGATAAGTTCGTTCATCGCTCAAAGATGGCATAGATGATGGTAAATTCTAAAGGAACGATACGATATTTAGCTGAGCTAATTTGGATAAAGAGTATCCTGTATTTTTAGCCCTTTAAATAGGTTGTTAATAAACGACGAAATAGAAATTTCACGAAGTATGGTCGTCGTTAATGATCACGTATAAACAGATCATTCACGTGTTATGCTTATGTGTTTGTCTACATTTTGTTATTTCTACTTATCGTCGTATATTATATCAATAATAATAGTATTTTCATACGAGTCGTTAACTTCAGTTTCTGAAATTTTTGAAATTCTAGTGCCCAAGTATTTTGCGATTCATGCTGACTTCGTTAAATTTCATCAATTTTTTTATTTCTATTATTAAATTATACACAAAATACTTCTTTCTTGTTACGTGAATCTTTGATTGTTTGATTGGTAAGATACAGGATCAGCATCCTGTTCACGGAAACTGATACATGAAACGCGTCAGGATGAAAGGTACGACCCAGATCTGCTGCATTAAAGCTCCTAATCAATTTGCCGATATGGAACAAGACGACGTACATATTTACATGCGATAAAAATGGCAATTCATCATCGCGAATCTGTTCGGATCCGCGGACGATGCGCGTAGCTTTAGCACATTCTTTCGCGAACTGATTGCTCTTAATTATTGCATTGAGGTCAAATGTGTAGTTAACTTACTGAAGGTTATATAGCAACCGCGCGTTCTCACTTCGCCGTTTGCTACGCGGACAATTGATCCACGTTCGGCACGAACGTCGTCTCAGACCAATATCAAAAGGTTTTCTACGCGATTGCACAGAATTTTTCGATGTGAACAGCTTACAGAGGATGGCTCTTATTTACACTGTATGAAAATCTTTTTTCAATGTTTCTTTCGCGACAACTCATCGTGCTCTGGTCCCTTGAACATTAGAAACAGTTATTTAAATGTATCTTCTAACGAGTATCTTCTAAGTTATCGATTATGTCAAAAAACAAACGTCGAACAAAAGTCGTAGATTTGGACAAGAAGCAGCTTTTATCTTCTATTGCTTTTTTTCGTGCAATGAACGTTTCTCAAAAAAAAAAAAAAAAAAAAAAAAAGGG